TCCAAATATGGCCGAGGGTTTTTCTGGCTTTCGTCTCCAGAATATGTTTCCTCTTCAGGCCTTTCCTCATCCATACTCCCTAAATTGTGATTAGCAGCTGCCATCTTCTGGGTCAATCACCATCAGTATATATATATATATATTTTTTTTTACTCAGTAAAGTGAGGGGGTTTTAAATGTAGCAACGTAAAACTACTTAGGTTAAAATTTACTCGAGTAAAAGTAAAAGTTACATATTTCAAAAACTACTCAGAAAATTACAAATTACTGATAAAAAGTACTCAATTACAGTAACTTAAGTAAATGTAATTCATTACTTTCCACCCCTGCTTATAATATCAAGTCAGTCTCTTTATATATATATATATATATATATATATATAATGTGTGTGTGTCATGTGTAATAAATACATGTACATCATCAATTTAGCACTTTTGGCTCATCTGTATTATCCTGCTCTGTTGACATAAATTTTATTTAGATCGATTTGTATAATGTTATAATAAATAATTTATAGACTCCATTGACTTCATAATGACTATGCAATGTGATGTGAGTATATTTTTTATTCTAAGTTAAAGTTAATCTACTGTTGCTATGAAACAGCCAGTCTGTGTCAAAGTGTATTTATCTTTATTTTAAGTCTGAAAATGAGAACATCATCGTTGTTCGATGCTTTAGCGCACAGATTTTTTACATTGCCACTGGTTTATTAGGTACGGAAGAGGATTAGGGCCACTGGGAAAAAAAAAAGTTAACAGATTTTTTTTTTTTTAATTCAGTATAGTATGGGAAAAAAGTCAGAATTCTGACTTTTTTCCCATGTTAAGCTGAAATAATATTTAAAATTCAGTTAACTTTTTTTTTTCAGTGGCCCTAATCCTCTTCTGTAATTAGGAGTACCAATATGGCGGCCGGTGGCTTCTCTTCCACCTCGTACTACCAACAGGGAATCGGCAAAGCAATGAATAAATACAGATCAGTGATTGGACCAGGGGCCTGAACAGAAATATTTGAAATCATTTTCAGCTCCACATCTTTCACAGATTCATGATGCATTATTTTTATTTTCCCTCCATTTTTCGGTTTATTTGGTTTCATATCAGATCTGCTCTTCCTGCAGTACGGCTTCAATCTGGAGCGATGGATTTTAACCGGGCAGCAGCCGGTGAGTCAGCTTCCTTCCTGCCCACCCTACTGGCTGATGTTCAGCAGCCCTCAGGGAACTCATAAGCTGAATCAGAGAGTCCACGATCTGTGGGCCCCTACGGCTCGGCCCCGGAGCCACAGCCTGAGCTCTGCAGAGGGCTGCTGGCTGCATCATCGCTCTGTCCAGTTCCTCCAAACCGACTCCGATGAAGAAGGCGGTGCATATATGGATAATGCGGGCTCCTGCAGAGAGCGGCCCCGCAGTGCTGCAGCCAGAGACCCGGTCTCCAGAGTCAGAGATATGCACATGGAGCCTTCGTCTCCCCTCCTCCAAGACCGCAGAGCCACTTCCTCTCCTCCTGGGAGCAGAGCGCCTCAGCGAGCGCTGGGGCAGCACCGGTCGCAGCAGGGAAGTCCAGTTTCTCAGGGGCAGAAGAACAGCAAGAAGAGGCAACGCTCTCTGGGGAGGAAGTTTTCCACCCCAGCTTGTTTTTCTCCATCCAGGCCCCTGCAACAGCGGCCCTCCTCTGCAGGATCCGCCGTCAGAAGCCGCAGGAGAAAAGTAATTTCTTCTCAGGAATTGTAAATAACGCAAAACAATTCCTGGCTTCACAGATGAGCCTCATTTCTCATTTCTCCTCAGGTCCTGACTACTCCTGGATCCCGTGAGGTTTTCTTTGACTCAGCAGCAGAGCTTCTGACAGCTCTCAGCCAGGAGGAGAGAGAGTTACTCCAGACCATCACAGAGAAAGGATACCCATTACGTACCGCCATCCTGGCTCTGCAGAAAACAGGCTGCCAGAGCCCAGAGAAGGTTGGCTTCTATACAGCTAATAATCCCTGATTTAATCCCTGCTGGTTGCTTTTATTCCTCATCCCAAAACAAGGTTATCCATTGCAGGTTAGAAGGTATCGTCCCAATAAAACTGAATCACGTTTAAAATGATTTTCCAAACGGTGCACAGATGTAGAAGGTTTGCTTATGAAGTCCTGATTGTTTTTCAGGTCCTAAAGTATCTGGTTGCTTGTGATCGTCTTTGTGAGCTGGGCTACGATGAAGCACAAGTGGAGGAGGCTTTGGAGATGTTTCAGAACTGCGAGAGCAA